GGTCAGGGTCTGCGTGCCAGGCAGGGGAAGGGGCCGTGGCTGTGGTGCTGTGTGTGGGGCAGGAAGAGCCCACGGGAGCGGGGCAGCCCTGGGGACATTTCCGAGGGTTTTCCCCGGTTTGGGTGTGCACCGGCAGCAAGAGGTGCTGGTTCAAAAGTCAATTGTTGGGGCCTCTTGTTGGAACCTCTTAGCAGCAAATAAATATAATTTATCTTAATGGTGTGAGTGAGAGCCCATTCACCTGTCGGGGCTGCAGGATTGATGTGGCATCAATAGCCCTGGTGTGTTTACCTGCCAGCCTGGTGGGGCCCCCCCCTCCCCCCCGTGCTGCACCCCCGATCAGTGGGGGCTGTGCGTACGCACATGTGTGTGCACGTGGGTCTGCACACTCCCTGCTCTGGCACCTTGCACACCAGTGGTGGGTGACACAGAGGGCTGTCTGGCCCCAGCCACTCGGGATGCCAGAGGGACTCCTGCTCGCCCAGGCACACTGCTGGGGCCCGGCAGGCTGCTCAGCCGGGAGCCAGCTAAGTGCCAGCCAGGTGTGAGCAAACAGACCGGCCGCGTCTTAGGAGGAAATCGATAGGAGATAAGGTGCTGCCGGCCCATCATATACTGATTAGCAGCATGGCACAGGCACAGCGGAGGTGCTGGGGGCTGCAACGCAAGCTGCCCTCCCCTGCAGCTGCAGGCGGCATCTGAGGTCAGGCCACGTCCAGCCCTGGGGATGGCTGAAGCCCCCGCAGCACAGGGGTTTTGCAGTGGCCCTGAGTACCGGCCTTGTGCCATGGAGCCGTGGTGTGGGGCTGCAGCCTGTCACTGTGCAACTTGTGTGCCCTGGCTGCAAGGCCCACGTTTGGCTCCACGTCCTCTCCAGCCTGTCACTTTCTGCCACATGCTGGGCTGGGGGGCCCTTTGCAGGGAGCCCTGACCCCTTGGCAATGTTTTCCCAGGGCTTAGGGAAGACTGGTTCCCCCCCGCCTACAGGTCCCCGTCCAGACCCACAGTGAGTGTGGGGCTCATAATGCCTCCCCCACAGCCACGCAGCCCCTCTGCTGCCTCGACGGGACAAATGCCGGTAGGTGGCAGAGCCAGTGAACCCTTTGGAGGATGCGGGAGGCTGGGTCCCACAGGCAGCACGGTGCTGGGGGGAGGCTGTGCACCCCACGCACCCCGGGCCCTGTGGCAGGACGGGCAGAGCCACGTCACCATCTGTGGGCAGAGCCAGTTCTTGGCAGGAGCAGGCTCTGCACAGTGGGAGAAGTGAGGGGCTGCTGTCGGGATATTTTTTTGACATTTTCTAAGCTGCCCAGCGTGGCTGACAATTTTTAATGTACTAACTGCCTGGTCCAGTGAGCTGATTAATTGGTGCTGTGGAAATCAATACAAAACAGAAAATTAAAACAATTTTAAAGTGATTAAGTAGTTTAACACCTGTCTGATGCCACGTCAGGGCTGGGAGACAAATAAAGCAGGTGGCAAAGGGCCTGCTGCAGCCGGGGAGAGTGACAAATTGCAGCCGCAGCCTGGCTGCCCTGTGCATCCCCGCCGCCGGGCAGGTCCCCCGAGCAGTGCTGCTCTGCGCAGGGCCCCAGAGCGGCGGCCAGGACCCCCCTCCTCTCCCGCCTGCTCTGCCCACCGCGGCTCCTGCTTCCCTGCAAGCAGCACTGGCCGCGCGCTGCCGCGACTTGCTGCAGCACAGCGGTCCTCTGCCAGCGCTGGGGTCTCGACAGGGCACGTGGAGCCTGGGCAATGGGGAGCACCAGCTCTGCCCGCCCCGAACGTGCCTCGTGCCCGGCGGCTGGGGCCTGAGCAGCCCTGGGGGACGCAGGCAGGGCTCCCACTGAGCACGCAGCGCTGGGGCCGGCTGCTCCGGGGGCGTGGGGGTGCGAGCGCAGGCAGGGCAGCCTGGCAGGCAGATGGATGGCAGCTCCGCTTCAATTCTGCATCCCTTTTCTCCCAGACAAACCCCGTCGGATTTTCATAAATCAAAGCGCCACACTGTTTAATAAAAATTTATTGACTTACAAGTGATTATTTATCAAAAGGCCATTAATAGCGGCTCTGGGAATGATGTGCTACTGGGTGGTGCGTGGAGACTAATAGCAAATCAATGCCAGCATCCGGGTAGAATGCATATGAGGGCCTCCGGCCCCAGCGGGCTGCATGGCTGCTGCAGCCAGAGCCAGCAGCCCCTACCCCACGGGCCGCCCAGCGCTCCCCCTGGTTATTTATCGCTTACAAATGAAATGATCGATACTTTTAATCTAGAGCTAAATTTATTAACTTTCTCATCGGAGAGAGACATATTGACTGGGGGCATGGAGAAGGGGGAGCCAAAGAAAGATGGATGTGTGCCTCCTAACCTGTCCAGCCAGCTCCCTGCCTGCTGCAGAGGATCCTGGCAGTAGCGGGGCTGCTGGGGCTGGTCCCAGAGCACGGTGGGGTGGTTGGAGGTCCCGCAGAGCTGGGGAGGTGTGCAGGCAGGGGAGGGCTCCTGCGCGTCACCGCAGCCCCTGCAACAAGGGCCAGGGGAGCAAGCTGTGGGCAGAAGACTTGCGGGCACCCGCAGCCAGGTCGGAGCCCCCCGGGTGTGCCGCTGCAGGCTCCGGAGCGCCTGTGAGGTCTGCCCCGGGGAAAGCTTGCAGGGGCTGTGCACCAGCGTTTGCATGGCCTGAAGGCGAACGCTTTGCAAGCCTTGGGGCCAGAGCAGCAGAGCTGCTGGGGCTGGACCAGGCCATCACCCCGGCCAGAGGCTGCCAGGGCTGCAATAGCTGTCTGGGCAAGCATATGGCTTGAGCAGGAACTGGGGCAAATACAGCTTGTAAAATATTATCATTAAATGGTATAGGCAAGTACTACGGGGTAACACAGACCTGCTTGGTAACTAAAGCTTAACTATGCTATAGGTTAGCTCCCATAATACATATGCAATATTCAGCATTTCTTATACAACTAAAAGATGATGGTCAAAACCCTCTGCATAACTGTAACAACTGCCAAGTAGATAAAGGTTGTACTTTTTTTTTTTTTTCTTTAAGTAATACAGCAACAGCCGTATCAGTTAACAGACACAGATGGAGGATCAGTGAACTGGTGTTAGGAGCTGTGCCTAGTAAGACCCTTAAGGCCATTATAAACTCCTAATGAGAGAGGGGTCCTAGCCTGGGTAACTGAGATAACTATTAATAATGAGCAGTCGTTTTGTCCTCTATTGGTAGCACAGGAGCATAGGCAAAACACTTCAACCCTGTAGCTGTTGTTAACTATCTCCTGCGTGGCTTCAGCTGCATTTGTTTTGTTATCTTAGGTGAAAAGATACCAGGCTTTGTTTCTTCTTTTTTTCCCCCAGATCAATTGCCATAGCTGAAGTTGGGCAGAAGAGGAGAGTACGAAATTGGGGTAACAGTGGAAAGCGTGGGGCCAGTAAGGGTGCTGCCATCACCAAACAAGAGCCTGGTTTCTCTTGGTGAGGCTGGACATTGGTGGTGATCATATAACTGATCGCGGATAGTTAAATGCAATGTTTGGGTAGGTAGCGTGTCTCTGTGTGCATGTTTATAAGGAATCATATTTTGAGCAGTGCAAGTAGCAAAGGTAAATCAATTCAGTACAGAAATATTTCCCATAACTGTACGTTAACAATTATATGCTATTCAGTGTAGCTTTACATCACTGCAAGGAAGACTGTGCCCTCTCAGGTATTGTCTGGGAACAGTTCAGTTTGTTTGTGCGTAAGCTGATGGTCCTTGGGTAGGTGGAAAATAGCACACCATGGAGAATGGAGTTCCTCAAATACGAGGACAAGTTGTGCATACCCTGCTTGCACGTTGTCTGTGTACCTGACCCAAAAGGAGGGTTTGAAGCCATGAAAAAATGCAAAGCAGGGGGGCTGCAGAGAACGGAATAATCTAAGTGAGGATATGTGCATTATATCTCTTGCGAAAGGTTAGGGATTTTCTGGACTCTCTTTGTTGCTTTTTTTTCCCTGTCTCTCCTTCTTGATATAATGGTGTTTTACCCAAATAAAACCAAGCAGGAAGCAAACTACCTTGAATCCTTGTTGGTAGCTAGTGCAGTGAAATTCAAATTTAAGGACACTTATGCAGAATAGCTGTCTTGACCTGGGGAGCAGCAGATGCACTCCTCCAACAAATAACACTTGGGGTACAAAGGAGGCACTTAAGTCTTGCCTTTGCCAGTGCTCTAGAAAATGCAAGCAGGTTTCTGCAGGCAGCAGTGAAACGGCATTTGCGTGTAAGAGCAGGCAGAGGACCCAATGAAAGTGCTGCTTTATGGGGACATAAGGAAAATTGGAAGTACATGGGATGAATGCTCAAATGCAAGTTGTTTTACTGAATAATATACTTGCAGAGCTGAAATGGAAAGGGGGTACCACCTCCAGCACAAGATTTCCATTTCCTTGCAAAAAGCTTGAGATTATGTATGTGCATATTGGTGCATAACGAGATCAGATCCCACTGTTTCCCTCAGGAGACATTTAAAAGGGGTCTCCTGCCCCAGCCATGGAGTCTCAGCCTCTCCCACCCACCACGGGCTCCCACCATAGCATATATGGATTCCTCAAGAGCCCCACCTACCACATCACTGACAACTGCCTGGCAACCTGCAGTTCCAGGGGATAAAGGGAGACTTCCAAGGAGGATGGTCCTCACTGCTTGAGGAACCCCAGCAAAGAGGTTGTTACTCAGGTGCTAGAGAAGACTCAGGCTATGACATGAGGGTGGTGAAAGGAAAAGGAAAGGTTTCTCCTTCTGGAAGTAAAGCTGGAAATGGCCTGGGAGACCACATACTGTTCATAAAGGGTTTATGCTGCAGACGTGAGGCACAGGCTCATGAAGACTCCCTTGGTTGTCAAGGCAGCTAATTTCAGTGCAGCTCACCAGCTTCTGTACCGTGGGAGACTTGCGACTGACACACATGCACATCAACACACCAGTCCTCCCCCTGGGCCTGTAAACACCATATGGAAGCGCACGACACCATAAGTGTTTCATTTAATATTGCCCCTGCAAGGGGCTTCACTGTAACAGTAACAAGAAGGCATCTTTGCCAAGAGCTTCCCAGGGCCTAAAGACTCTAGGCAGTAATAGTGCCTCCAGGAGAGAACGGCCAGAGGATGAAGCAGCAAGTCCAAGCAGCTCTGGAGTAGCCAAAGTCCAAAGATTCAGAGCTGCTTCAGACAAGCCCTGGCTCGTGCTGGAGGCAGAGGGCTCTGGCCAGGCCCATTAACAGTGCTGGAGGCAGAGGGCTCAGGAGCGGCTCCGGTCTTCATGGTTACCTACAATCATTTTGCTGTAGAGTTTCTGTTGCTCCTCCTTGAATGTGTCTTTCACCTTCTCCCTCTTCAGTCCTCCATCCCTGGGGAGAGAGTCATAACATCAGAGGAGCTGCAGGCATGCATTGTCCGAAACTTCAGCTGGGAATGCTCAGAGCAGGTCAGAGCTCCCACAACAGCCAGGCAGCTACACTTGTACGTTACGTTGCCAGGGCACACTGCAGACCAACTGTCCCCAAGGGGACTTACTTTCACACCTTGCTCTGACAAGAGCTGCACCCATGACCTGGCACTGTGCTCAGCACGGCAGCTCTGTCAGAAGTGTGAGCTGCTCTGACACCACTACAGTGGACTGTCTCCAGAGCCCCTCTGCCTCCCAGGCTCTGAAGATCTCAGTGCCTGAAAAAGGAAGTTCCCAAGCTCAACCTACTTTGCTCAGCAGCATCAAGCCAAAACCAGGGCATCCCAGTGTGAGCTGGAATCACAGAATGAAGCCCTGATGCCCAACACACACAGCAGAAGCAAAAACTTTGGTCTGTGCTGCAGAAGAGAAGTTTTGGAGGTCACAGGGAAGATGTATCTCCATTTCTCCATAGGCCTACTCTGCCCAACGCAAGACAGCTCTACAGCCCCCAGGCACATACTAGGACCCACGAACAAGGAACCCTGGCACCAGGAAGAGAAAAGCCTGCCTGGACTCACCAGAGCAGATCCACAAGGCCCCCCTGCCTGGCAATGGCTGACTTCACTCGATTGGCAAACTGGACAGCATCCTCTTCAGGCTGTGGCAAAATAACACTGTTCAGCAGGAGCCAAGGGCCAAACAGGTAGCAGATCAGATAGGCCAGGTTCACCTTACTTACCTGTCTGGTCATTGGGGGCAAGTACCAGACACTGCAGACAATGGCCCAGCTGGTCATCATCCTAAGGAGGTAGGTTACCATGCCATACTTGCTGCTGTTCCAAAAGGCATCGCCAAACTGCGGGTCATACTACAGCGGCAGAAGAGCTCATGAAAGTCAGGCAGCGGCTGCAACCTCCCTGAAGCTCCAAGTTCCACCCCAAGCCCAGGCACATGCCAGCCCTCCCAAAGCACTACACAGAGTGACCTCAGCTGCCCCACGCCCACAGACCAGGCTGTTGGCCCAACAAAGCCAAGACTGGGCTGCCAAGACTGAGCTCTCACACAGAGGGCTACTTGTGCTGTAAGAATGTTTGCCTTCTCATACCTTGATGGCTACAGGGTAAACTGTGGCTCCGATTTCAAAGCTCCCCTTTTTGAACATCATCACAGACGTATTGTTGATGCAGGTTCCTGTAAGAGGCAAGCAGTCTGCTCAACTTCCCTTTGCAAGCCAGTTCAGAAGTCTAAGCTATACACCTAAGGTCCAGGCTGCAGGCACCCAGCAAGTGCCCCCTAACACTCACTCTAAACCCTGTTCTCTGTGGGCACAGGATGTGTCACCGGGACACCATATATCTGACTTCCACATTCTGGATTCAGTCAGCTTTAAAGATGCAATGTTCCCTTTGTCACCATGAGGGGTCTCAAGGCCCTTGTCTGCACAAGGGAAGGCACAGAGATGTGCTGCTGTCACAGTGTGCCCTCTCCACCAGCTGCTTGTCTGGCCTTGCTTCACAACTCACCTTCCGGAAAGATAAGAATAGGCAGTTTACTCTTGTCCTGGACATGCTCTGTCAGCCTGAACAAAAAGAGTGTCACCAATTAGCACAGGGCACAGAAGCTATCACTAGCAATCTACACAGCATGCAGTCCTTATCCTGCAGTCACTGGGGACTATCTGGGCGCCATCAACAGTGGCACAGTCCCCCCCGCTGGAGGCAAGGCAGAGTCCTCACCCAAGGGAAGTGGGCAGCCCCCCTCCTTTCCCAGCCTCCAGACTTCCCCCTGCAGCTAGCAACTGCCACACCTTTTGGCGACAAGGTGACGATCTTTGACCTCAGAGCGTTCAAACCAGACATGGGGGCAAGCTTTCACCATGGCTCTCTGAATCACACCCATGAGCCCTCCGTGGATCTGACCCACCTGAATGGGACAAGAAGGCACAAGTTACCAGACCTGGTGACACAAGAAGACCAAGGCAGCTCTTAGCTTCACAGACAAGTTAAGGTTCATCTTTCTACCCCTGCCCTGGAAAGGCTGAAAGGAAAAATCCCAGGCTCTGACTGGAAGGACAGCTGTAGCAAGCCCCAAGTGCTTTCCACATTGCAAGAAGTCCAGCTGGGGAAGTGCTTTGCTCTCCCATGGATAGAAAACCCCAGAGCTCTACTTGCAAAGCAGTGCCCAGAGACCCCGGGTGCCCTGAGTCCCAGACCAAGCTTGATGGAAAGCCATGAACAACAGGGTATCTGTGCACAGGGGTGGAGAGTGCCCTGCAGTGTCATGTAAGGAAAAGTTCTGCATGCTCAGAATCCTCTTGCTGCCTACTCCTTGTCCCATGCAATATGCTCGCTGCACCCACCACACATGCAGCCAGGCCTTGGTGGACAGAACTGGGACTGGGGTGCAGACCTTACCATCGCATAGTAACCGTCACTGGCCAGGATGATCACATCAATGGGAGATGTGTGATTGGCCACACAGATGCCTCCATTTCGGGGTCTGTTTTCTCTAAATGCAAAACAAAGGCAGTGATGAGGACAGAGGAACAAAGTGTGAGGCCTGCAAGAGGCACGGCATGGAGAAGCTAGTGGGAGGGGACATCCTGCAGAGACAGGGCCTCCTTACCGGTCATGGTAGGTGATGATGGCTGTGAGGGCACGCACACAGATCCGGTAACACATCAGATGGACATGCTTGCTCAGGAACTCCTTACACCTGCAGCCCAGGACAGAGACCATCACCCCCCAGTTCTACAATCTCTATGACCAGTGATTCTTAACACACGAGAACCAAACTTTGGCCTTTGTTTTTTTCTGTTCTTATTCCTTTCAGAGCCCAGGGCTGAGTGCTCTGCCACAAGTTTACTGTTCACATCTAGGCCCTTTGTTTAAAATTACAGGGTGTCTGTTCCTGAGAAGCTACAGATGTCACAACCACCTGCCTTGTCTGCAGCAGGCAGAACAGACAGGCCTTGCAGGACAACTTCAGGATTATCAGGTCTTAAACTGCACAGGGGGCTTGCCATCCCCTCTTCCCTCAGAGTCGAACTCACCTTCCATTTGGCAAATATCCCACCACTGTAGTACCAGTCACCAACAAACTGATGCCAGTAAACGCCAGGGCTATCCTGCAAAAAGAGGGAAGCTACATGCTAGAAAAGTCAGGCCACAGGCCCTATTCATCAAGTAGCCTGTCTCTCCCGATTATGTTGAACAGAGTCTGTGGGGCTGGGGGACCAGCTGCCCCTGGTGCAGTGGGAACAGGCCATCAGCATCATCTTGGCAGGCAGGCTGCTGCAGCAGCACTCACCTGAGGGGCAGAAGGAAGCAGTAGCGGATGAGCACACCCAGTCCCCAGAGTACAGTGAGGCGCAGACTGATGTACTGGAAGTTGTAGTTGGTCCTGCTGAGCAGGTTCCAGGACTCCAGCTCTTCAGCTGAGAACCTCTTGGTCACTTCATCGTCCATGATGGTCTCGATGCCTTTGCGGCAGAAATAGAAGATATCTGAGAGCTCAAACTCAGGGGTGTCCAGGGCTTTGCCGCTGCCACTCCGGCGGATCTCCTTGATCTCCTCTTCCAGTGATGTTGGCTCCTTTGCAATGATACCTGCAGCGTGCCACAGGCAGCTCTGAGCAAAGTGCAACTTGCCCGCTCAAAGACAGCTGAGAGCCAGGGCCCCTACTCGCCTGCCCTCCACCGGACCGCCTTCCTATCTCCAGTCCAGACAGGCATAAACCAGTCCTACCAGCTATCTAGAAATTAAGCACTCCCTGGGTGCCTCCCTACTCTTCCTCACAAAATGGACCTCTCCATAGCTCTTTCCAATCCATCTACATGGAAAAGGCTTCCCAGCATACCTCAGCTGCTCAGAGACACCATATTTACCCCATCTTCCCAAAAGAATTTTGAACTTCATATGTACAGGCAGGGCAGGATCTTACCATTGACATAGGGCTTGTATAACGTATGGTTCTTCTCCTTGGCACCACGCTCTATTCTCAGTGTCGCCCACTGCAAGAGACACACATGACAAGCAAGATTTTCAAGACCTGTAGCTCTGCTTCATACAACTCCTGTTTTACAGTCACTTTCAGGGAAGACTATGGTTAAGGGGAGAAGATGGGGCTAAAGCAGGAGGCTTCTGTACAGAACTGAAAGAATGAGTGATGAACACAACTGAACTGAGGTAGAAGCAGAGACTAGCCTGGGAAGAACATTTTTACAGCAGAGATCTGCCTCCAATGGGACAAGAGGACTGGTGGGGAGGTGACTAGCACAGGCGCAGGACAGCCATGATGTGCACATGTCTGTGTGCCACTCTGCAGAGCAGAGCCCCAGCGGGAAGCAGGGAGTGCCAGGAGGAAGAAGAATGCTCAGTGATGGGAGGGCACAGCAAGGTTTTCTGCAGTCTCTGTGTCCCGTAGGCTCTGCTGCACCTGGCACGTGGTTGCCACTGCACAGCTTCTGGGTGGACCACGCATCCTGCTGAGGTGGTCTGCATCACAGCGCAGGAAGCCGATCATGGGACTGGTGCTATTTTTCAACCCTCATCTCTTCCACGCTCAAAGCAAAGACTGTGTTTCCAGGCTGTTGCTGAAAACATCAGGCTGGTGACGGGATGGAATCCTTCCCTCTCTGATTCAGCTAACAGCTGCTGCTGCTTCTCAGCCCACCGGTCAGTCCAAAACAGTAGCAGCAAGCACCCTCAGACAGCTCTGTGGCAACCTGCTGCCAAATCCCATGCCCAGACTATCACAGAAATCTCTCTCAGCTAATTCCCAAGGGCACCAGCAAAAACTGCAGGCTGGATTTCCGGCCAGTCTTCCTGCCTGCCCTCCAAGTAACCCTCTCAGACTCACACTCTTCTCCGTTATACAGGCCTGGGAGAAGAACCTTCTAAAGGAGGACTTGTGTACAACACGCTTATTGCTCCAGGCTAGCTGCTCCACCAGGGATCTGCAAAGAAGGGGAAGCTGTGGGTAACTCCTGGCATCCTGGTCTCAGCCCATGCCAGCATCAGATCAGGAAGCAGTGATGTAGGAATACTAATTGCATATGGAGTATCCAGTTCACCTAGCAGCCTCCTCTGCCAGCAGAAGGAACTGCAGAGTTGCAGAAGATTGACTAGACACTGCCATCCCAAGAGAAGTCAGCAGAGGAGCTCTGACCCAGCAGGCGCTGGGCAGCCTATGGAGAAGACATTCCTCACAAGCCCAGCATGCCTCTATCCCGACTGCGGCAGCAGAAAACCCAGACTCCCACCTGGGAAGCACCAGGCAGGTCTCCCTCAGCACCCACAGAGATGTGCAGCTGCCAGCCCAGGCCCCGCAGCTCTGCCTGTGTCACACAGGTTGACAGACTTGAACACTGCCCCTCTGGGCTGGGCTCGCAACACTGGCAGCTAGAGCTGGGAGGATCTTTTGGGTAAGTAACGCTCCCCAAAAATACAGTTCCGAATGACCAAACCCAGTGAATGAATTTTCCACCAAATATGTGAGTGGTTGTGCTAGAGCATTCCTCCCTCCCACCGCAAAGAAAAAAGGTGAAATAGACTTCAAAGTCTTTTCAGAAAGTTTAAAAATTAAACACCAAAATAGGTGTTGAGATAAACATTCCTGAATTGTAGAAAGAAAAAAAAGAAAACAAGGTGAAAAGTTCCATTTCAGATAAACCATCTTCTTACTAATTTTTCCCCCTGGTTCAGTCACTAAATTTGAAGTCAGGTCTTCAGACATCTGTGTCAACAAAGCACCTCACAAAGCCCAGGGTCTTCCCATTCACATCTCAGGCTTTTGGGAGGACTCAGTTTAGAGCACTGAACACTGAAAGCTCCAGGGCTGCCTTCCCAAGCCAGCTAGTACAGAGATACTCCTGGGGAAGACCAGCCTTGTTCAAACAGCAGCAGCCGTACCACAAATCCTTTAGCAGCTTGAACTCCACGTTTAAGAGCCTAAAACCTCCCTATCAAGCACAGGGCACCCCTTTTCCTTTTGCTTGGGCTGCCAGGGCAGTGTGGAGTAGACTTTACCTACTAGGAGTTTGGCAAAAATTCTGGTCTCACCAGGGACTTGCCTCAAGGAGAGGTGTTGGCTGTTTGACAGCCCATAAAAAATTAGTCTGCCAAAGGCAGGCAAGAGAACAGCATGACCCCAAGCTGGAAAATTCCACTTGGCCTCTCTGTGCCAAAAGGGTCAGCAAAGGCTGCAGATCGTCCCAGAGGCTACAGGTCCAGACATGGCTGATGGGCTCAGCAGATAAGCAGGCAGCACTCTGGTACAGAAGGGTGTTGAGAGCTCTGGGTTCTGGCCACAGACCACTTGGGGCTTGCTGTACACAAAGTCCTGTCTTACCTCCTGCTTTTGCTTCATCCAAACATGTCCTGGAGAGGAGCAACCTGCTGACTGCAGTCTTGTCCCTCCCCATCACACCCTACACCCCTTTTGGCTTCTTTCCACATCGAGCTGTAACAGCACTCTGCCTTGCCTGGGACATTAACCCATCCAAGCACACACCTCCTCTCAGCACATCTACAGATCGTACTGTACTACTGCATGCTCACAGGCCACACCATCCTACTACTTTACTTGAAGATTTACTGGGTTAATTACAGGAAAAAAAACAGCCCACGAACAGAGATCTAGTAAACTGCATTTGGCTGAGATGACCCAAACAGGTCATATGGCACCAGCACGTCACCAACAAACCAACCTCCCATCCCAGTTATCTGCAGTGCCCTGCTGAGGTGCAAAAGCCTCTCTCTCCCCAGCACGACCACGCTTGGCAAGATCCCTGTAAACACAAAAAATTCTGAAAACATGACTTACCTGAAAAATCTTTAATAACGTTTTCATGTAAACCTTGCGAATGCCAAAGGAGACTCCAAAAATTGCTGGCACAATGATGAAAACCAGAAGCAGAGTGAAGAGGACAGTTATGGAAATGCCCAAGAGATTAACAACCAGGCTGTCAAAGGGGAGCAGAAGGAACATGGTGAAGGGCCCAGGCAAGGCTGGTGCCCTGCAGCCAGACAGAAGGGCTGCCCGCAGTGATTAACCGGTCCTCCTGTTATTCAGCAACAGTCTCAAACATGCACTGAGTCCGCAGCCTGCTCACAGACCCCATTCCAAAGTTCACATCCTTTTTGGGCTCTGCGAGAGAGGGAACGCAATAGGATCAGTGAGAGCTGTTGGGAAAACAAGCAAAGAGTCTGCCAGGATCCCAGGTAAGTTCAGACAGTGGGGGCGGAAGAGCTCAAAGAAGATGGAACACGCACACAGGTTCCTCCATGGGCGTGCAGCGGGCACTGCAGTGACACAACTGCATGAATGGATATCCTCCCAAGGCGCCGCTGAGCAAGTCCTGCTGTGGGGCAGCTTGTGAAGAGGCTGGCAGCAGAATCCCCTCCTGGCTGCTGACAGCATGCAGAGTCTCTTCACAGGGACAAGGTGGAGTCCATCCCTGAGCCTGCATTGGAGGAGATCGAGGGAGTTGGCACTTACAGGAGCCTACCGTATGTGGAGCTATTATTGTTCTTTCCGTGAGGACACAGGCACAAGTACAGATCTTTGCATGACGCCTGGAACAAGTTTAATTCCGGAGGCCCCTGGCATCCAGTCACGCTGATGGGTTGTTACAGACACGAACGAAGCCTGTGTCCCAGGAAAGCTCTTCAAACAGCGAGTTGGCTTCTTGGCAGACAAGGCACTTGCATGCCACCAGCGCTAGTGAAGGAAAGAGAAACCGAAGTCAGGCAAGTCATGCAGCTCGGAGAGACGTCAACTCAGAGAGGGTGGCAGGAGGCCAGGGACAGTGGGCTCTGAAACCTGGAAGGCAGTGCTTGGGCTGAGGTCACATCACTCAGAGCAGCTCCTGAGACACAGCAGACTCAGACTGGCACTCCAGCTACTGCCTGGCACTGTCGCAGACTTAGGAATCACTCCCTGCTGCCACTCGTCCTCTGTTTTCATACCATCCACACCTCAGATTGAGCAGACTTGTCCAGAACCACGCCTAGAGCGCAGGATGCTGCAATCAGGTCCCAAGTACCGGAAAGAAGTCAATGGAGAGACATAAAACCCCTCCTCATGACGAAGATCTTATTGCCTCTCTCATTTCAGAGGCATCTAAGAGCACTGAGCTAGCCAGGTACCCAGATTCCTGGGAAGGAATCACTTCCTCTGCCATACACACATCTCACCCCCAGGTCACACAGGGCAGCTTTACAAACAGTTCAGGACAGGAAGCTAGCCCAAGGGGTGAATTAGTGCTGATGATTAGCCAAAGTGGAACTTATGGGGTCATGAGGACCAGTCAAAGGTCAAACACCCGGCACTACAGCCCTTCCAGCGGAGGACACCCTCCGCAGCACCGGTATGCATAAGTGAGGCCAACTGAGGCTGCTAAAAAGAGACGAGTCTGCTTGGGGGAGATTTCCCTCTAGATTCCACCTTCACCCGGTTATGGAGTGTCAACCTGAGGATGGGATTTATCAGGTACCCGACAAGCACGCAGGAGCAGAGAGGCCTAGGAAGATCCTCTTGCTCCTCTGTACAGTGTTCCAGCTGCCGGCTTAGCACTGCTCTATCAGTAATGCTAAGAATACTGATAGTGTTTCAAAGGAACACGCGTGCCTGCATAAACCATGTCCTGGGAGAGGCAGCTCTACAGCCACGCGTGTAACTGCCCATTATGGCAGAGCTGTCACCCATCACAGCCAGGACTCGTGCTGGTAAACTGGTCAGACCGGCCACCTGAGCTGGCAGCCGCTGCCCTAAGAGGGGCTCAGCTACTGCATTCCTCCACCGCGTCACCCGGCCGCGGCCCGTGGGGCCCGGCAGCGGGCATGGCCAGCAGCTGCATGCAGGGAGCCGTGGGGAAGGGCAGGCGGCGCCCGTCCGGCCCCTCCACCGCGGGGCAGAGCGGCACCGGGCTGCCGGCACCGCGGCCCGCCGATCGCAGGGCCAGGGGTGATCCCGATCCACGGGTGTGCGTGACAGCGCGCCCGGGGCCGGGCCGGCCAGCGGGCCTCCTCAGCTCCGTTCAGCGGCGGCGCGGAGCGGCGCGCCGGGACACGGCCCCTGGGCGCAGCGAATCCCGGCAGAGCCGGGGCTCGGCCCCGCGACCTTCGGCCTCGGCGGGTGCTCCGCGGGGAGCGCTCCCGCCTGCGGCCGGCCCCGTTCCTCCGCCCTGAGCCGTGGCACCGGCGGCCCGGCCCGGCCCACACCGCAGCCGGCGACCGGGGGGGGGGGGGGGGGGGGGGCGTGTGGGGGTGGAGGAAGAGGCGGGCGCTGCGGCGCAGCCCGCAGCACGGCGGGCAGGCCGCGCTCCCGGAGGCGGGCGCCGGCTAACGGTCCGCGGCCGGGCCCGGCCCTGCTCGGGCGCCCCGACCCCGCCGGGCAGAGCAGGCGGCGGCAGGCCGAAGCCCGCGCGGGGCGGGGATGGGGCGGGAGAGGGGGAGGTGGGTACCAGCGCGGCGGGCCGAACCGGGCCGGTCACGCACTCACCTGCCGCCGCTGCCGGGCCCCGGCTCCGCCCCCGCCACGTGCCGTGCGCGCCCCCGCTCCGCGCGCTGACGTCAGCGCGGGGCCGCGCCCGCAAGCGAACCCCCCACCCCCAGCGCGGCCCAGGCAGGCCCGCGACCCCCCGTTACAGCACCAGCGGCCCCCCCGGCACCCGGCGCGGCCCCGCGGCCCGGGGACAGCCCGCAGCGGGCACGGAGCCTGGGAAGGCAAGCTCTGCCGAGACCCCCCCGCGCCAGCAGCTCCACACGAGGCACTGGGGCAGCTCCGGGAGCCCCGCGGCTGGCAGGGCCGACTCCCACGGGGCACGGACGCGGCCCGCGTCTTTGTCACTGCCCTGCCTCGAGGACCGAGGGGCAGCAGTTACACCAAGCAGCAGCTTCCAGCCTGCGGCAGGAGCCAGCAGTGACAAAGCTCCTGCGGACACCGGCAGCTGCTCATACAGCACCAGGCCGGGCACAGAGAGGAGCTAAAACTGGGAAGAGCATCTTCTGCAGCTGACTCCTCCCCCCAGACCCCGGTACCATAGTTGAGGCAGGGAAGGGACCTACACCTCTCCACCCCCTGCTTTCCTACCACTAAGGAGCCCGGGTCTCTGAGCACCGCCAGGTCTGTAGGTGAGAAAGGACCGGGGCGGCAGCCCAAGAAGTGCCAAGATGCTTCCAGGCCCCACTGACACTCTTCAAGGCATGGGAGGGAGGGTGGATCATGCCTGTGTGGCAGATCGTGTAGCTCCTCCCATGGTGGTTGTCCCAGTGGGTTTTCTGTCTACACTGGAAGGAGATGCAGAACTCTGTGGCCCTGTGGGAGATAGATGGCTGGGGCAGGGCAAGCTCAAAAGAGATGTCTGTGTCAGCCAAGTTGTATATGATATGCATGTACTGGCAGGAGATGTCCTGGAAGCTCTTCCAGCCATCAAAGGTGATGCGGACCATCACTTTTTTCTCATACTCAATGTTTCTGACCCTCACTGTCCCTGACAGGGCACGGTTCTGGATCAGGCAGCTCTCCAGACAGACAAGGTTACTGTGTAGGTGGCTGTGGAAAGCTGCGCAGTCCACAGAGGGCTGGGGGAAGTCCATCACACACCCTCATGCTTCTGGGCGAGTCCCGCAGCCTAGGTCAGAAGCAGGCAAGGTCACGTAGGGTATGCTGCAAGTCACAGAGGTCCTCCTCGATCTTTGAGAAGAAGCGACAGCCATCAGTGAGAGCCTCTTCATGTCAGAAAACACAACTGTCTTCTGGCCTTTGGAGCTCCCGGTGGTATCTCGCCACTCAGGTTCTGCACATGGCTTCTGGTTGAGACAGGATCGGAGGGGTTTGTGCCCCGGTTGCACCACAGCTCCTCACAGTTCAGCAGCTTGTGGATGGGGAGGTGAATGGCTCCGTCAGAGCCGCACGGCCAGCTCCACGGGCATGGCTGGGGGGCGACGGGCCGGGCACTGCACACCTGGAAAGGCCGGGAAGCGAACAGGGGGTCGGGCGGGGTGTCCCGGCCGCCTCCCCGCCCCGCTGCCCGCCCCGGCGCTGCCGGCAGCCAATCAGTGCCAGGGACGCGCCGCCGGGCGGCCAATGGGGGAGCGCGGTGCCCGCCCCGGCTCCGCCCGCCGGCCCCGGGACCGAGGGCACCCAGCGAACGGGCACCGGGACCCTCTGCCGGGTACCGGCTCCCTCTGCCGGGTACCGGCTCCTGCCTGGGGCGAGAAGAGGAGCCCAGCTTCCTGCTGCTGAGCTCAGCCATGAAGTGGGCGAACCTCCTCATGCCAGAAAAACCCGAGTGCTTTTAGCAGCTTTTTTTGCCTTTAGTGAACTATCAACACCCAGAGGAAGCTACAGGAGGAAGAAGAGCATGTTCCTCTCACCTTGTCTTTAGTTGTAGGAGGTTTCAACTGTTTTTATACATCCCTTTTCAGATGCTTCTCTGAAGACAGCTATTTCCAGGGGGTCTAGGCACAAAGAAAGTCCCAGACTCTAGTCTCATCCTCTATCAAAAGTGAATCTAACTCAGTTACCCCAGTTCCCTGCCCTGAAATTCACTCACATCTGAGTGGGCAAGAGACACTCTGCTGTCCCTGACATCTATATTCAAAATCACCTTCACTGTTTAGCTCACATGCGACTCCTTGACTGTCACCTAAATCAGATCACCCCTGACCTGTACTACCTGCTAATCCCTCCTGAGCTGCCTAGCCATTTATGTTAAGCAGCCTTGATTGTTCCAGCTGACATCACAGATTTTCATCAGCTCATGACACAACCTACCTATCAGTATTTATACATGGCTTTCCATCACCAGTGTCTGAACATCTCCAGCACAACCCGAGACACCTCTTGCAGGATGGTCAGAAGTCAGCATGAACACAAGTGCTTGGCTGGTAAAAATCTGCAGTTCGGCCCCAGCCTCAGTCAGCAAAAACATCAGAAAAAGCAGCAAGAGAGTCAAAGCAGCACCATCCCCTAGAAGGACATGTGGCACTCCAGGCCAGACACTCCTGCCTGGGGAAGAAGAGGACAGTGATTTTGATGGGTGACCAGGAGCCAGATGCACTCATCTGGCAGGGCCTGCAGGAGCTGAAGTGTGTGCTGCCGGCCAGTCCTGCCGCTGGGACAGATCTGTCTGCTGGGCCGAGGCCAGGCGTCCGGCCGTCAGCACGCGGCCGACACGCTGCAGCAGAGGCCTCGAGCTGAAGCCCCCTGGCTGGTGACCACGCTCAGGCCCGAGCGGGAAGCAGTGTTCCCCATTTCTGAGGCCAGCCTCAAGAGACAGGCAGTGACACATCCTTCCACAGAGGTCAGACGGAGGATCAGCTACCGCATGCTCACCCCTACAAGGTTTAATTGTGGCCGCAACCGCCCAAGTTACAAACCCAAGCGACACCTCCTGAGGTCAGGACAGCAAACTGCACCCCCTTTTCTCTGAATGAAGGGCTCTTGCTCACGGTCTTGCAAGTTGTCTGCTTTTGAACCTCTAAATAGTTGAAACTTTTCCCACAGAATTCCCAGTTGTTTCCCCACCATGTAGGAAAGTTTCTGTAGGTAGTTACTGCTACCCCACTGAATGACATGTTATTTGAGATCATTTTCCTGTAGATACGCAGGGAAAAAAAAAAAAAAAAATAGAACCACATTTGGATTACTCTTCCCAGATAGTACTTTCAGAGGAACAACTCCCTTGATACCTGCTCCAATGCACATATTTCTCAATTCTGGGAAAGCTGCTGTCACCCAGAAGCAGAGTAGCCTACAGCCAGAGTTAACCACAGCAGTAGAAGAGAAAACCCACAGGAAAATACCACGGACAGGCTTTCCACACTCCACATTTCACACATGACTGAGGCCCAAGGGAAGACAGTCCCCTGTGCACTGTTGTGATGGGTGGCATACTAGATGACTCCACATGCTCACAAGCACAGATGCCCTCCTGCACATACAATGCAGGCAATGAGTCAATTTTCAGCAGCTGCTTTGGGAGAACCATGCTTTTATCACATCCTCTCAGTCTGACAGGGTGTTTCCACCCACTTCAGTGACTCGGGAGAAATCAACCCAGACATGAAAGTGTCTTTCTAGCACTGAAACCACTTGCCCCACCTGTCTCCTGCACTCAGGAGAGTGGATCCAGCTCAGAAATCAGAGATCACCATCAGTGCACTCCTTGAGACCTCTTTCACCATCCACCTATTTTGCATTTAATCACTCAGTAAACCTATGCTATCTCCATCTTGGAGAGAGCAGAGAACAGGGGATTTATTTGAGCCTAAGCTCTACAGCAGAACCCATGGAAGCTGGAAAAGCTGTTCCCACTCTGCACATTCTCTTCCAGAGGCAGAGGTTAAGTTGGATGCACTGTTGGGTCTTCTTCATCCAAAAGTACAAACCCAAAGCATCACTTCCCTGATAAAGTTGCAGACACTTCCCCTCCCTCCAGAACAGAGGCACGGTGTTAGCAGTAAGGCAGTATCCGGTCCCAGAAGTGTCCTGGTATTTAGTCATGGAAGGACATAAAGAGCAGACAGCAACATTTTCAAGTATAGAATAAAGTGAATCTCACTATAAGCCTGACCGATTTCAGCCTACTAGCCATCTTCAAAAATCCTGCATAGCCTGTGATGAAGTTGCCATGTGCCAGCTGTCAGACTCCAGAGAGCATCTGTACTGAAGGCACTCTGGAAACAATCAGACCCCGTTAAGATTCAGCTGCTAGAAGAGGACAGGCACCCCTTATGCTCACATTGCTGCAGCCACATGAGATGCAGTGGTGAGGCAAGTACTAGCTGTCTGGACAATTGCTCAGTCAAACTTAATAGGGCCAAGGAGAAAATCTTCCAGACATGCTACCTAGACATTCTCCAAGCAGCTCTTCTATAGTACTCTTCTGCAGCAGATTAACAATGACTTTGGCTAGGAGCTTCAGTCACTTTTGTGCATCTGCCTGGGCTAAGGACAGGGCACAATCTGCAGCCCTTCCTGGAGTGCTGTGCAGAGATATGTGCTACTGATTCCTAAGGATTAAACCCAGCCTCTCGTCGTGTCTGTACTTAAACCAATCTTCTTTGCCTAAATGTATTCAGTAGGAATACTATAAACCACATATGCAAAGCTACTCACACTACAAGATGCACTGTCACGCCCTGCCTGCCAGAGGAAGGGGAGTGCCAGAGGAGCACCAGGCTGTTCCTCACACAGATCACCATGCAGGGAAAACCCTGTCCTGAAGGAACATGAGGCACTGTCTGTCCACACACCTGACAGGCACAGAGCTGAGGTAGCAGGGGACACCCTGGCTTCTCCAACTAGAAGAAGCATGCACACATGGGTCAACAGGGCCAGTGGAGCTTTTCCTCTGCGTGACCAGCACAAAGGAATTGCTTATGCCCCTTACCCCAGCAGCTGTTTCAGCAGCAGGGAGTTTGACAGTTTCTACCCTCACAACTGCAATCAGAAGCTGTACCAGAACCCCTCACTCTGTGGTGGAGGGAGGGTCTTCAGACCACACATAATAGAAAGCTGCTTCCTCCTCAGCCCATGATCACAGTTGTTCTGTTTTAGTGAAACTGTCCACCACTGGTCTTAAATAAGGCATCCCAGCAGCTACACACTGAAGCTTTCCAGAAAACGCCTTCTGACTTGTCACTTTGCATTTGTTCTATTGATTCAAGTCTCCCTTCACAGGGAGCTGAATGCTCTGCTGCAGAAATCAGAGTGCTAGCCTGATAGGAAGCACATGAATAACACACAATGCATAGAAGGTAAGGCAAAACCAGGACTCCTATTCTCATCCTTTTGCTAGCCTCATGCTCCAATATCTTTCTAAATAGGGAGGGGAGGAACATGGTGGCTGCAGCCGTTGCCCCCTGGTGTCACCCTGGTCCTGGCCCTGCACTTACTGCTTGCCCCTCAGATGAGCTGCACCGCTCCTGAGGCCACCAACGGGGCGATGGTCTTGTAACGGATCAGATGCTGTGACCCCTCCTCCAGGTCGATGGTGTACTCTCTGCCAAAGACAGATGTGAAGTTAAGCCGTCTCCGTTTCACTATAACCCATTCCACTTTTGTGAAACTAACTTATTTACGAGCGCACACCTACCTCTGCTCATCCATCTCTGGCTCAACCAGGATGTTCTCCTGACGCTCCAACACCCTCAGGAACACAAATGAGTCCAGGTTGGGCTTTGGAACTGCAGACAATGGATTCAGAGCACAAGCTCAGCACTCGGTTATGTTCCTCTGCAGGACACTGAGCTGACAGAGGGGTAGGAGGGACAGCAAACTCATGTCCAGTAAAGGAAAGCTAGACACTTCTAATTAGACACAGTCTGCACTGCCTCAACATAAGACAAGATTTAATGGCAGGGGTCAGCATGACCCTCTGATAGCAGCATCAAACCACGTACCATAGCAGAGCAGCAATAAGACAACATCCTCATGTCATCTTTGCTTCTACTGAACACCAGCTGGAGGACTAGCCCTTAACATTTCATGCTCCCATCGCTTTCCCCGCACTCCTACTGCTATAATTTTCAGCTTACCCTGGAGACTGGATGTACTTACCTGATTTTAGGAGAGATACTTTCTGCAGGTTGGGCGGCATGTGTTTTAGGGCCACGTTTTTCAGATAAACCTCTGTGTTTGCCATGTACCTGAAACAAATCATTGGAGTATTTACTGGCTTATTCAAATACAGATCTGCAGGGCGAGTACTGACTCAAAATGCCAGCAAGCGACATCTCCTGGTCCCACAGGCATGACCAGAGACAAGCCTAATGGCTCAGTTACCAGTGTTACTTTATTTCAGCTCTTTCCTTGTCCATAAGGAAACCTCCTGGTAAAACCTGTGATTCTTACTGCAAACCCGTCTAAGGCTAACAGTCTCAAGAACTGTTCAGCATAACACACAGGCAAGTTTTATAACCTATAAAAAGGGAGGGAGATGCGTCCAAAACATACTCACTCTTTAGCAAAAGCAAACTCTTCTGGTGATAGAATGGAAGGCTCCCCTTCGGCTCGAGATTTCTCTTTCTCCAGGACATGGGGGAAAAACTTCTCTATCTGATATTGGAACAAAATCCCAAAGACTGAAACAGACCTCTCCCAGTAGTTCAGTGCCTACAATCCCCACTCCTCAGAGGCTTCCACTGCTGTACAGTAGCCGCAGGCCTGACCAAATACCTGCTCCTGAATTAACAGCAGTATGGTGAGCTGGGATCCCCAAGCCGCACAACCATATGTGTACATGGCAGGACCCCAGGTAGAACATGCAAGCATCCAATTGTGTCACCCTCAACTTAGATGAGGTATTCACAGCAATGCTGTGATCTTCCTCCATCACAACAGAAAAGCATGTCCAAAGAATGAACTCCTTTGGGTTGCACTTTAGAGGACACAGAAGGAGAGCACATTTCACTAAGTGCCTTGCTGGAGCAGGAGGCCTTGTATAGATAAAAATCACTCCTGAAGCCACCCTTTTTCATCCTCTGGGTAGCATAGCAAGTATTACCTTCACAAGCCTACATCGCAAGTAGCTGCTGAGCACGTAACGGATCCTTTCAATCTCCATGTGGTGAATGCTGACCTTTAAGTCTCCTCTCTTTGCCCGTTTCAGGTTTGCCTCCTGCAAGGAAAAGCAAAGAGAAATTAAACGGCTGAAATGCCAAACAACAAGAAACAGAGAGGAAGATGGGCTTTGTACACAGGGCTCACAAAAACAGATTGCAGCTGCTTTTGGTGACACAAAGCACACTTCCTTGTACCTCCCAGTCCGCCCACCAAGACAAGCTCAAAGGTGGTCCTCTGAACAGCCTTATCTCGGGGACAGAGGAGCATACAATCTTGGCAATCGCGGAGGAACCCATGCATGTATCTGCCAGGCCAGGCAACCACGGCCTGCCTGTACCACCACCTTAGGCCAGCAGAACCTACCATATGGTCCAGCTGCTCCACAACACACTCAATGATCTCAGGTTTGCTCTCCAGCAGCTCTGGGGCAAACTTCTCATTCAGCCAGGCCTGAAAGAAGGCACGTTTTAAGCAGAGGCGAGAAATGCACCTACGATTCGCCCCAGCCCTCAGAGAGGCCAGAAACTCAAGCCTCTCCGCTTCCTCCGGCGAACCCGGGGGCCCAGCCCCCGGCCACCCCCGGGAGCCGGTCCGCAGCCGCTCTGCCCAGCTCACGGCACCTGCTCCAGGCTGCGGATGAGCTGCGCCGGGGTGAGCACCAGTTCCTCGCTACCGCCATCCGAGTCCCCCTCCGTCCCGGCACCGCTCGCCGCCGCCATCCCGCCACAGCCTCCCGCCAACCGCTACGGCCCCTCCGCGCCTGCGCGGCCCCCCCACCGCGCAGGCGCCCGGCGGCGCTCAGCCGGGTCCCACTGCGCAGGCGCTCCAGCCCCGAGAAAATGGCGGCGGAGAGGGGAGCGGCCTCGCCACTCTGCTTGGTCAGGGGCCGCGAAAGGCGCCCGAAAAACAAAGCTAGAGTAGAGGGGACAAAACGGTTGAGGGTTAGGAACTGATCTTGAAACGGCGCTATCTCTGTTCACAACCAGGACCCTGCTACTGCAGGAGCAGGAATCTCGCCAGTAGTGCTATGCAGACCGGTGCTATCAAACATGACACAGACACAGTTTAAGAAAAAATTTACTAATCCGTTAGTACTTCCGCCAATAGTGCAACAGATGTGAAAGGCAAACACTGTTACAGTTTAGAAAAAACAAGTTTTATACAATTAAAATATTAAAACATCTCAAAAAAAATATCAGTGGCTGAGTAATAAGCCTGGAATTTCACATCCAGTATTAGCACCTACAGTACCACCAAAAGCCAAAACACTCAATCTGTTCTGCATAAGTCTTCTCTAAATTCTTAAATTCCTTCTACAGTTGGACAATGACACTCAGAACCTAAACCAGGACACCCTTGCTTTGAAAAGGGAAAAGGATAGAAGAGAAAAATATTAAGCCAGCTTGGTTTGTAGGAACTTTACTTTTGCAGGTATTGCTGAGGAATGTTGATGCATGGAGGATACTAAATAATGCACAGTTCTACTTTTCAATAGTGTGCCAGCAGACAGAATTAAGAAACCATCTTATACAACATCTAACAGTTTGTGAAATCAAATGTTCTCCTATAAATTATAAATCCATAAAGAAACAGTTTTACACTTCACATATTAATCAGAGTAGGGTAGGAATTGTTACGTTTATTGGTTCAGCATCCATTTTATTGTACTTACTGTTTTATGAATGAAAAGACCCCCCTCTTCTGGTGAGCACTGACAGATGCAATAACAGCACAGATACAGTAGTAGAGAAAACACCAGCATTAAAGTCCAACTATTCCTCCCCCTCCTAGGAACAGCCAAAACATTAAAACAAACATCACTTTGCCTTCTGGTTTTCCATGAGAATCAGCACAGGAAACGTAAAATGCTCTATGCCTTGAGTCACTTTTTGCCAGACAGAGGCATTGTGTATCCCCTCACTCCAATACTCAACTGGAGGGAAGGCCTTGTTTCTGAAAAATTCCCAACTCTGACTTGTAGCTTTCCAAGGCCTGATTGATGTACAGAACGGTTTAAGAACTAGGGAGGAACAGCACTGCACTTATGTGACTAAAACTAGACTTCTGTTGGGCTAAGTGCCCCGTTTCTTTCAGAAGAGTACGTAGCTGTACCACTTCTGCTTTTTCTTGAAAAAAAAAAAAAAAAAAGCACAAACGAAACAAAACAACTAAACAAAACAAATAAAAAGTGATCTCATTGCTTAAAAGTTCGCCGTAAAATGGATGCTGACCAGCTCAGTCTCCCCATGTGGAGCAGTTTTAGGAAGTTAGTCCTTGTAGTAGATGGCACTGTGGATCTGGCAGCAGAGAAAGGAATGATGCTCTAAAGTAGGAGGTAGGGGAACTTTGATACAGCAAGTCCACTGTTGAGCTATCTTCTAGAAAAGAAGTTTCATATTATTAGAAGCTGTTACTAAATAAAACCAAAAAAACCCTACACAAACCTTTACATAGTTACATTCTGTTATCTTAGGAGGTATGTAGCAGGAAGGATAGAGTTACCATGTGCTGTGGTCAGAGTAGCAGGAACAGAAGCCAACACTCTGGATTTGTCTAACAGGAAATAAAGATCTTTATTATGCCTGCATAACAGGCATAAATATTTCCAGTCTCTTTTCTGCACGCATTGCCAACAATCTAGACTTAGACTACCACTCCAGGATCTGCAGAGTACCTAAGACAAGGGAGCCAGTTCAAATTTGAGATTTTCAAAAGCAAAGCTTAATGAAAATTCAACAGGTCCAGGCACAGTAATTTTGCAGTTCAATACTGTATGCAATTAACATGATCCTTTAAATTAGCTTCTCTCGAGTATGCTGAGCACTATTTTCACTTTGTGACTGCCACACAGTATCATGAAAACTAAGTGCCTTTCAGCAACTTCTTCCAGCTAAAAGCTACCAATGCTAGAGATTGCTGGCTACTCTTAACTGAAAGCATCACAAGTGAGGGTACCAAAGTGAGAACTGGAACAGTATCCAGCTGAAAAACTGCAATAAAAACTTGTATGCTAAAACATTCAGGGACACAAAGATTTTTCCACTTAAAACTATTGGGTAGGATAAGATCTCAAATACAGTAGGAGATCTCAGGAGTTCCTCTGAATTTTCATAGATGTCGCAGTGACCACTAGAAGTCCTAAAGTACACCGCCTATTCCTAGCCAGAGTCATATCCTCTACCACTATACAGGTTAGAAAGACAGTCCACATTTTGTAGAGCCCATGTAGGCTATATTCATGAACAGATATCCAGGACAGTGTACAGGCTCAAAATGACTAGGAGGAGATGAATACCTAATAAAGCTCCAGATCCAGATCAGGCTTATTTGGGTACTCATACTGCTTTAAAAACAGATGTTCACTGACAACAAATATTTGCAATTCATCAAACTGTCCAGAAATTCGTGATACAAATCTTTTTTCATTTTAGAAATTTCAGTTGTTTGAGCACTGACAGAACTAGCTTTTATGTAATTACTTAAAACCCACATCACCTAGGAAAACATTCTGCAATAGTTGCTGTAAAATGAATCATAACAAATGGCTCACGCCAAATATATGCAGATGAAGTTGATAAAATACAAACTTATTCCAATAGCAGAACACAAGTGCCATGCAATACAACAGATTCCCAAGTGCTAATAACCAGATAAAGAAGGGTATTTTGAGACAGAATTGGCATCTACAAGTGATGCCAAGTTACAAGCCAGAGTGGTTTAGAGAGAGGTATGCATCAGCAAGAATCTTCAATGTTTTGCTTTACCAGTACTTCTTGTCATTGTTTGCTCCAGCTTGTAGTAGATTAATCTGGTTTATATGCACTGTAAATATGGGTCCATCATAAGCAGACTACCAAAAGAGAAATCCTAGACATGAGGCAGAGGCAGGTTAGAAAAAGCACTGAAAGGATTTAGTAATACTACCTAGTACAGTAACTTGCGTTTTCCCCTTAGGCTGTGTAAGATTTGATTCTTAGAGTATGTCATATTCTAAGATTCTGGACAACAGATAAGATACTGTATAAATAAAGAATATCTTATCAAACATTTCTGAACAGAAGAGGTTTGGCAGCATCCCAGCACTTGGCACATGAAACCAAAGTGTCACCCCAGGGAACAGCAGTTTACTGTTCAGTCCCTTCTGCAACAGAGAAGCTGCCACTCAACATTATACAGAAGTGAATCTTCTATAATCTTAGAACCAAGAAGGTAAACTGCAATTACTCACATTGGTTTGCTCAGGATTCTGGGGCTAATAATATTGACTGCTACACAAAATACAAGGGGATCTGTAACATGCTGTGGTTATGACCTTGATTTCACAAGTGCTCAAAACGTGGAAGCTTCTAAAATAAACCCTGGTTTGGGGTACCACAGAAAACATTTGAAAGGAAAAGCCGTCTCTTTCACAGCAGTATAGGAAGAGCAGGTGCTAGTATAGCACCATTAATGATTTCTCTTGAATATTTCTCTCACGCTATTAGTATTAAAAGTGTTTGGAAATCCAAAGTAAGTATTTAAATAGTGACCTTTTTTTACATCTAGATTTAAGGGCTAGTCTTCAGTTTGTCTGCTTGGAACCTTATGACAGAAAGACTTCATGAGAATAAGAAAAGATTCTTTTATCTAGAGAACAGAGAACAATTTTGGACATAATATAGCACAAGTTAGGTTTATGCATATTTACACAATCAAGACCTGGATTTCTCTAAAGGTAAATCTCATTTGATCTGCATTAACATTCAGTGGCATAATGCCAAGTATTGATACTTCTACTTATTCAGAAAAACTAGACCACACAAGATTTAGGTGAACAGCCTTGATTACATAGAGTGGTGGGGTACATATTCTCTCTCAGTATGACAGAATCTACTCCTCTGACCACAGAAAACGGGTTGCGATTAATCTAGTATAAAGTTAACGTGTACCTGAGTCTCCACAGTTTTATCTTCCACTTGTCATACCTCTGTCTTCATAAATGGTAATTTCAATCTGCACAGAAAAGCTGTTAGGGAAACATACTATAAAAACATTATGAAAACACAACAACAAAAAAAAAAGGAGAAAAACATTAAGATATTAGAATCTTCAATCCTTCTGCCTTCACACATGCTGTTTCAAGGCTAGCTGCAGAGCTACAAAGCAAACGGAACAGTACACTGAAGAGATGCCCTGTCGGGTCAGATCAGTGGTCTATCCAGTCCAGGGCTGTTCTGACAACAAGAACACAAGATGCTGTGTGTGGAGGGTTTGTGAGCCTTGCCACATTCTGTTAAATTTCAGGAAAGGCTCTGCATTAGACAAGAGTTAACACTTCTACAGTTCAGCTACTAAGTCACTAACCAACCTGAAAATGCTTTTACTTGAGTTGAATGTTTTTTTCTTCCAGGAAGCGTATGCACAGAAAAATGCATAAAACACTGAATAATAAAGTCACTTGGGTGACAGCTATAAGCTATTTAGACTAATATACAGATAACCCACCTACAAGGAATTAGCCTTACCACGTATCTAATTGACATTCTGTGTTTCAGGTTGCTCTGGTTTCAATATTCTCAAAAAACGCTATGTTACTCATTCTACACCTAGATTTGCTATGCAAGGTCTTTACTACTACTAACTTAATAACTAAATAAAACGCCTGCATCGTGGTTCAGGAGTTGAAGAAAAAAGTTTGAAATAAACCATGCTAGAACCAAGGGCAAGCGCTAGGCTGGTATCAGCTTGCAGTTACGTCATATGGCTAAATCTTCACCAGAACCTGAGCTGAGGGTTACAAATTAAACAACAGTTCTCTTGCTCATCAATTTCTATCCTACCAAGTTGGTCACTTTTTCCAATCAGACAAACTGCATTTTTAGACGTGACTGAAATAGAGTAAGCATCTAAAGTGTTGGAAGTACTCTGTTTATACATACTGTGTTTTCAAGGAAGTCTCAAAGGGCAGATTCTAATACTGCATTTTCATTGTTTTTCAATGTGACAAATCTTAATGTACTAAATCTGACCAGAGCACGGTACACAATGAAGAATAACAAGACTAATCACATACCCTGCCGTATCACAGATCAAGCACGACCAGAGGGTGGCACACTGAGATAAACAGGTAGCAGCACATCATAGATGAACAAAGCAGAAGAAAATCTAAGAAACTACAGAAGGATACGACTCTTAATCCTCTTTCAATGGGGTCTGTCAGAAGGAGGCCCTGAGGAGCATAGATCTTCTCGTTCTGTTCCTGAATGAACTTGGCAATTTTCTTTAGAACCTGGTAACAGAACAGCACATAAGTCACAGTTCCTTCATCAGGTTTCCCTACATTAGAGTCAGAGCCTCAGCAATATCACACATACAGCAACATGAGGAGAACCTAGCACACAAGAGACAGAACTTGTGTGATTCCTCTGAAGCACAAGCAATTGTTACGTTTTTCAAACTGACTAATGCAGACAAGTCTGTCTGATGTAGCTTTGAAATCATTCTGCAATGAGGTCCAGAGTCCATATGGAATTTGTATGACAATCGTGCAAATCACAGAAAATCTACCAAGAAATAAGTCTTTGACTGAAGTCTGTGAGACATACTGCCTTCCAAGTAACAAGATAAACAGAAAGAAGTGCACCTTTTCATAATGCGTTTCCATGCACAAAAAGATGGTATAGGCAGTCAGACAGGCGAGACATCCTTCAAGGTAAGATTGGCCCCCGAGTTTTTCAGCTTCTGCATAGAGGTTATTCAGCGTTCGGACAGTCTCTTCAAACTGCTGCCTATCAATCTGCAAGAGAAGTCAAGTTTGGCTGTTGTGCCCTGCACTTCTCAGAACTCACCAATATCTTCAGATACCTACCTTCGTTTATTGCTTATTTGCACTCCCACACTTTCCACCTGCTGTGATTAAAGCCAAAGTGTGAAGGACACTTTGAGTTATAGACCTGTAGTTCTTTGTTTAATATCTGCCAAGTGATTAAACTAAGTCTGAATTCCAACACAATGTGAACATAAAATAATTAAGAGTAAACATAACTAAATCAACGCGCAATTCAATTGAAAAAAAAAAAAAAAAGGCAGCTTAATTCACAAAGAGATCTACTAGATTAAAAAGAGCAGTTAGGGAGTGGATTGACAGAGCTGCTCTTAATATCAATAATGGCTTGCTGCTGCTGCAGTGCTGGTCAAACAAGTTCTCAAGAAAACAATACAAAACAAAACAAAGAAGGAAGAGAAAAAAAAGTATAGTGAGAGAAATAAAAGGTGTTAGCAAGGAGTGTTTGTTTTGCTATCAGTTGAAGATATTACATCTGACAGCATTAAACAAAAAGTACTTGAGACAGTACTTATGAGTCTACCAGACTGGCTCAGCAGAACTGGCTGGACTCCCAAGAAAGGACAGTGTTACTGCACAACAGTACAACGCACGCTTTATTCTCACAGACATAATGCACACATTCTATTTTACCACTACAGAAGGCAGCTGCCTTCCTCAGGATTAAAGAAAGCACAAAACACCCGCATTTTGTAAACACCAAAGAGAAGCATTCTAAACTATTTTTCATGCAGCTTTTCACTGCAAATCAAAAGTATTTGCTTGATGCAATTGATCAAAAACGCCATTTGGACAAAACCCGAACACTTTCATGCCAAAAAATAAGCAATGCCCAAAGCAGGATATGCCTTTAAACTGAAATCATGCCTCTCACACTCGGCATAGGGCTGCAGCAAAAACAGAGGATTACAAAGCGTTAGCCCCCTTAAAACTAAACATGAGAGCTCAGCACAGCATGCTCGGGGAGCGCTGGAGGAAGAACTGCTCCCGGGACAGGGGCACGGGGGAGCACCCCCACCTCCCTCCTACTCCCGAGGGGTCGGCCTCAGGCGAAGGAGCAGAGGTTTGTGCAAGAGACCCGCTACATGCGCCAGAAAGACGCAGAACGGGCTTCGGGCCACGCGAGTCCGTCCGGGCTCCCGCGAACGCCACCCGGTCCCTGTCCGCACGCCCTCGCACCCCACGGCCCGGCTCGGCTCCTCCCGGCCGAGCCTCAGCGGTGGGGGGCCGGCCCCGGGACGCACGGAGCGGATCCCCCTCGCCTCACCCGGTTCTCCAGCTCGGCCGGGAACTTGCTCTGGAACTGGCAGCGCGTCCCGCCGCTGTAGTCGCGCTGGATGAACACCTTGCCCGACACGGGCGCCTGCTGCGGCCTCATCCCGCCGCCCGCTCCGCTCCGCTCCGCTCCGCCGGCCGCCGCTCACTTACGGCTGTCGCGAAAGCGTCGGGACGACTCCGGGCTAAGGAAAGGGCGGAAGTGCCGCCTAGCGCACGCGCCGAAGCCCTCAAGGCGGGGGCAGCAGCGCGCAGGCGCGGCGGCCCGATGCCGGGCTCTGCGCATGCGTGCGCGCCGCCTGCGTCCCATTGGCTGCGCGGAGACACCCCCCTCTCACCATAGGCATGGTACAGCCCGCGTGACGACCCCCCCACACATACACACACACACACTCCCCCCCCAACACTTGGTGCGGCCCCGGCCCCGCGGGCGGACATGGCGCTGCCCGGGGAGGTGGGCGGGTGGGGGGGGGGGGGCGGCTGTTGGGGTGCCCCGGCCGCGCTCCGGGGGGGCCCTGGGTGCTGCACCGGCTGGGGGCGGCGGCGGCGGCGGCGGCGGCGGCCCGGCGCACGACCGGCCCCGAGGTCGCCCCGTGCCCAGGGGAGCTGGCATCGGGGCTGTCTGGCAGCTGCTGGAGACCCGCGCTCCTTCGGCCTTTGCTGCCCCGGGTGTTAATTTCACGATGTTTTCGTAGGAATTCGATGCGGCGGGAACAGCGCGGCGTTCAAGGCTGCTTTATTCCAAGCTGATTTTGCTGATAAGCACGCTGTCCTTTCCAGGCCCGTTAACCTTTGGCTTCGGGAGTTCCGCAAGGCATGAGTGAGGTCAGAGATCGTTCAGTTTAAGGAAAACCTGAAAACCGTTTACTGAAACCAGGCGAGCAGCAGACTGGCAATCTCAAACCGGGATTTTGTGCCTCCTCTGCTCTCCCGCTTGGGGTACGTGGTGAGATGTGGCAGCGGTAGGCTGGGGAAACAGCCCCAGTGCTGGTCCCGGCCTGACACCCCCCGCCCCACTGGCGCCGGCGGGAGGGTCCCTGCTGGGTGCCCTGTGCTGGGGCTGGGGGAGGCGGCTGCAGGGCTGGACGGGAGCTGGCACGTCCCCCTGAGCCCCCAGCCCAAATTCTGCTCCGGGATGACGTCCTGCCCCTTGGGGCTCACTGTGAGCTTTCACTGTCCTGCCCCTTGGGGCTCACTGTGAGCTTTCGCTGCCTCCTGTCTCTCTCAGCGTAATGCTCTGTGGAGCAGCTTTGCCCCTCTGCCCGGGGATTACATGGGACAAGGCTGGCCTCGTGGATCCGAGGTGTGGAACAGCGAGGTGGGGACTCGATGAGCTGGACTCTTCTGCTGAGGCCTTTGCCTTTTGTGTGTAGAGCATTGCATTGCTGAGCAGTTTCAGAGCGGCAGGGATGGGCTTGAAAGAGCACTGTAAGTTTTCCAGAGCCTTTGGGAGCCCAGTGGGGTGTGTTGTGGGCAACAGGACATTAGATTTGCAGAGAGATAGTTTAGTTTGAAAATTCTTTAGACAGTGGAAAATTCACCTGCTGCAGCTAAATGGCCTCTGCATCTAATAAAAATATTTAAAAACATTTTGAATGAAGAAAAAGTGAAAGTGGGCTTTTTCAGGATGTGGAATGCTTCTGTTCAGTAAAACAAATGCCATAGCCTCCATAAAGACCCTGAAAAATGACAGCACCCTTTCAGCTAATTCAGAAACCAGGCAGGGGAACCAGAGAATGATACAACTTGTTAAAGATTTCTGAGGTCTCTGTGGCAGGCTGTGCCCACAGGATTAAAAAAAAAAAAGAGGACACTAATTATGGGCACAATTACTGAGCCTGGGCTTCAGCACAGTCCTCAAAGTATTTTCTAAGGTCAGACATGAGAGGTTCTAGGAACAAGCCTTTCTGCAAATGCTGCCACTGAGTTATTTACTGTATGTCTGTGTTAATTAATGAAGTACTTCACAGAAGTACTGCAGGAGCTTGAGGTCCAGTGGCAGAAAAGTCTTAGAGACACACCATCAGCCAGAATTAGGAAGCGTCTTAGTTGGATCCTCCCTATGTAATCCTTGTTCCTTATTCTGTGACTTGTGCAAATTAAGCCAATTTCTTGCCTTCAGCATTCCTGAGAGTCTTTTTCTCATCCAGAAGTTGTGAAATCTTAGACGACTGAAAGATACTGTTCCAAGGTTCAGAAGTTAGCTAATCAGTGACATGTTTATTTAAACAGTTATTGGAAACCATCACTTGGTGAACAAAAAGTAAAGGGAAGCAAAGCATTTGGGACATTCATTACTTGCTTACTGCAGCTGCTCCTTCTCAGTCTGCTGAAGATGATATACAGGAGAAGAGGTCCCAGGCATCCCAAGGAGGAATGAACTCAAGTGCAGACACGCTGGCTTGGGCCATTTCTACCAGGTCAGAGCAGGCTGCAGGGTCTGACCTGCTTCCCGCGAGCACGGGCACCAAGGCTGCTGTGCTGGACGAGGAGGCATCCCGGAGCTGCAGCAAGGCTCACGGAGGGAGGACACGCTGCCCGGCCGTGTGCCACGGCTGTGTGGGACCTGCTGGGACGCTGTGTGGGGAGAGCGGGGGGTTGCTGGGTCTGCTGGCTGCAGGTCTGGGGGTGTGGGGCTGAGCCAGGCCGCGGAACATCCCCAGCGCGCTTCTCGGACACTGCTCTGCTGGCGTTCATCCACCTCTCCGTGGAGGCAAACTCCCGCACTGCCTCGGCAGACATTACCTGAAAACTGTCTCGCTTCAGATCTTAATGAGACTTGCAGAGTGCTAGTGGATATAAGAGTCCTGCCTTCCTGGAGCTGAAGCTGTAGGGGAAGAAGGGCATGCTCATCGGTGTCTTCCTTTGCCCAAGCAGCAAAAAACCCCCGATGCCCATGTTCTCCCTTGCTGAGCAGCACGGCATTCACCCGTCATTCTGCACTGAAGTCTGTGGATGACAGGCTCACTGTCTGTGATGCCCTTGCTGTGGTTTGTACAGATTACTTCTCCCTAACCCTCTTTCCTCTTGAGAGAGGATGACCGGGTTCCCAGCCCTGGAACACTGACCCTGAGCAAAGCGAGGAGCTGTGAACCCCAGGGATGTCTCAGCTCGTAGGCTGGCTGTGTCCTTGCATGGCTTCACCCCCGTGCTCCCAGTGTCTGGCTGCCTTGGGGCTGGCACGTGCAGAAGAGGAGAGCCGCGGTCTCTGATGTCCAGGGCTCGCAGAAGCCACAGCAGTGCTCTGCCTGCTCTTTCTCCCAGCAGCACTACTGGCTGTTGAGTGAGATGGAGACGTGCCTGTGCCTGGTAAGGGACGGGGGGGCACACCTCCAGAGAGCAAAACTTTGGGGTGAAGCAGGGGACTAAGGCCTGGGAGAAAAGACATAATTTTACTGTTTAAATCGATCTTACATTTTACTTCCAAAACTCTTGCTGTCTCAGTTGATAGGAGCTCTGTTAATAACTAATTAACTTAATTAATGTTAATAACATGGGTCTGAAATTATTACAAATCAGGAAAGAAATAAAAAAATGTCCGCCGTTTCAAAACTTGCTGTGAGCCCCTCTTGAGCACGTGTGCGTGAGAGATGCATTGGGAGGCAGCCCAGCCTGTACGGGTCCTGCAGTGGAGCAGGCGTGGGGCATGTTCTGCTGTTCTGAACTGATGTGAGCCAAGATTTTATTAGAAATTATTGGTGCACTTGTTGGCACATCTGCCAAATATACATGGAGCCAAGTGCCACAAATGCAAAAATGAGTTAACCCACATCTCTTGAGGAAATGCTCTGTCTTCATTAGTTCTTGGCATCGTCCTGTTTAAAGCACTTTCTGGGTTTTTTTGAATCTTTTTCATTCTTGCTGAGAAAAGGATTATGAAATTTTACAGTGCAGTAATAAACTATTATTATTTATTAAATAAGAAGGCCCTGTAAAAAATAGAAGGAGAATTCAATCCAGATGCTATCTACTGCAAGGGCATTTGAAATTCCAGATGTTGATAGTAAAATACGATCTTTAATTCATGCTCTTACAGACAGAAAATGCTCCTGGCTGGGTAACCTGGCCCTCCTTAGTGCGGCTGTGTGTTGTTCCACAGGCCAGCCTGTGTTTAGAAGCAGCCACAGTATCTAACTGTAGGGTTCAACTTTATTCCTTTGCTGAACATACTTTTCTGCATTTTTATGGCTAAAAGCGAGAACATAGGCACATCAAATCAATGTTGTACTTGGTTATGAATAAACCAGCAGCTTGCAGAACCGGGCAGTCCTGTATGCAGCAGAGCGAAGGGCTCAGGAGCCCTCAGGTGCAGGCACTTGCGCAAATGTCAGTGGCCAGTGCTGAAAGAATAAGGGCAGCATATTTGGGGCTCCTCTGTCCCTCGCTATCCACCGCTTGCTTCCTTTGTGCACCACAAGCAAGCCTTTTTCTCGTGCCATTCCATGTTTGGTACTACCACTACTGCTCTGGCAGCCCCGAGGGATGCCGGTGCCTTTTCAGTCCCAGACCAGCTGAAAGGTCTCTCCCGCAGCGCAGCGGTGTGGGATGGCCTTTCCTGCCTCAGGGCCACACACCTCAATGCTGCTGTGAGAGGAAAATCTTTTGATCCTATTTACCATCAGTGAGGATGGCCTCTCAGCTCTGAAACCGTTCGGAAAAGTTTGACCTAGCCCAGATTTTTGTCTGTGCCTTTATCTCAAGCTGTAGGTAAAGCTGATGTAAATCATCCCAGGAGTAAGAGCTGAACATGTGCAGAAAGCACAGACTAAAGACAGGAAGGCTGGTGCTGTGGTGCAGGAGGTTGCAGTGCGTGGCTGCTGTAGGCGGCTGGCTGATGAGGAAAGATCAGTGTGGAGCACTGGCCGTGCCAGATCAACAGGTCAGAGGCATTTTGATGATGTCGGGAAACAAGAAGTAAGAGGTCTCTCTGGGTGTGGAGGCTACAGAGATCCCAGACATCAGACATGGACTAACCAGGAATAACTTTATTTCCTGTCAACACAGGTGGCTTTTGTCCTTACTGTGTGTCCCCTAGTGCCAGCACCAAATGGAGACTGCAGCCATTCCCTGATGTGCAGGGCACTGGCAGCTTCCCCGGACATCAGTTTTTTTCATATCTGCCAAAAAAACGCTTTGTCTTCCCGCAGGATTTATGTAAACTGGTTGCAAATTTGGACACGGGCAGTAATGGTGAATCTCAGGTTACCTGAGTTCAGCTTTTGCT